AAAGAGTGTGCTCTCTTACGAACGTACATGCCAGATGGTACAGGTTTTTTCAACGTATTTTCCATTTTTATACACAGCATGCATTTCTCTCTGAAAGACATGCTGTATCCTGTATTTTTCACCTGTGGCACCTCTTTCTGTGATGGTTTTTCAAAATTTTTGTTTTGTATTGTCTGCGTAGTGGTTTCTGGCTTAAACTGTGTCTATAAAGCTTTTTGGCCTGCTCAAAAAATAGTTGGAGCATTCTCCTTAAAGTGCTATTCAGGCTTTCTCCCTGGTATTACTAAGGGCCGAACTAGATTCTTTCCTCCTTTTATGAAAAAATAGGAGTAAATTTAAGCTATGGTAACTGGATCAGGAAGATGTGCAGTGCACTGGATGAGACTTCAATATATAACAAGCTATTAAGACCATCCTTGTATATAATATCAATGTCATTTTTTTCACAGCAACTTATCCATGAGCCAGTCGGAGGGCAACGTGTTATTTTAAGATATTCATCTGTTACTACTTCTTCCTCAAAGGTGTTAGATGAACTGCACCTAATAGTTCACCTGTGTGTGCTGCCATTCAGTCCATGAGCCATAGATGCCGCACACAGCAGGATCATGCTCTGGGCCAGGAACATGAGGTGCACCTACGAAGTTCGCCACTGGATGGGGAACTTTGCTAAGCAGTTGTCACAGGTTAGCTGCAAATTAGTGGTCATTTTTGGTGGATGGAGATCTCGGTAGAAAGGCTCCTAGATGATGAAACTGCTGGTCAAACAACCGTTTTTCCTAAGTCTGGGTAATTGCTAGGATGTGTGTCCTCATGCCTTTAACCTGCTTACTGTGAGTCGTTCTGAGACTTGGAAAGTTAAGAGAGATCCTTTTAAATATGAGGGCGAGGGATGAAATGAAAATCAAGTCTACAGTGTCTTGATAATTCTGTCTCTGCACAGACACAAGTCAGAATATCTTTCCTAGGGTTTCTTTATGGTAGAACTCATTGCTGGTCTAAAAAAAAATTATTTTTTTTTTAAGAGATACTCTTAAATGAAACCCATCTTCTTCAGTCAAGTGACTTTCTATCATTGAGATACTATTGTGCGTGTATATATATACACACACCCAAATGTTACTTAAGCAACAGACAGCAATACAAATTTTCACTATAAAGTTGAAGTGGAATGCTATTAGTTTGTATTAGTTCTCTTCCCTGAAGAAGGGTGGTGGAAAAAGGTTCTGCTTGCTGTGATCTCAGTTAAAGACTAAATCTTTTGGGAAAGTAGTTTGTCCTTGCTTCTGCAGGTGGCAGTCATTATCTGTACAACAAACCTAAAGCAAAGTGGGAGTCCTGGAGCTAAGGGCCAACTGCATGTACAAAACAAAGTGCTTGGGGATGTGCACTCATTGTTTTGGAAGGATCATAGGCATTGATTTGAGCATTCTGGCCATGCTTTTCCTTAAATTGAACACTTGTGTAAGTCTTTGTAGAAATGGCAGAACAAGTGTTAGATAAAGCAGCTCAACCTCTCCAGGAGAGGGTTTTAAACTATTTTGAACTCAGATTTCTCCATCTTGATTTTCCTGAATATTCTTTCGAAGTGGTTCTGTTTTGGCTCTTTGCAGAAGTGTTTTAGGCTCCTCCACCTTGAAATAGCCATAAAATTGGATGCTGTCTTATTTAACACTGTGCAAACAACAACAACATAGAACTGCAAAATCACTGGAGCAGGAGCTAAACAGATGTGACACCACTTATTTTGTATTTTCCATTTATTTTCTGACAGTGTCACATGTTCTGAATCTGTTTGGAGTCCTAAACAACATAAGAGCTCTTTTTATTCAGGTTATCAATCTATTCTTCAGTTGTTTTGTTTTTGACCTAGAATTAATACTGTCTCCCTTCTGTAACTTGTATCAACATATATTTATGTTCTATCTGAACTTGTGCAGTACTTATTACATATATGTTCATCTTTTAGGTCAGAAGTTCTCGGCTAATTGTTAACGTTCATGTGTCCTAGGGTGCTATTCGTGGGGGTGGGAAGACTTTTTTTTTTCTTCTTCTGAAAAATGAAGGCAATTGTGAAGAAGTCGGATAGGTCTGAGAGCCTGGGTGGGAAGGGGGGAAGCACAGAAATTTAGATATTTGTCCTCTGCAAAATTCTCATTGTTGTCTAAAAAGCGATTGGCAAAGATTTTAAACCAGGTTTGCACTGCACAAATTGCCCTGCCTGTGTTCTGGTATTACTTGGGGAGCTCTGACCACATTATTTTCCGTTACACTGAGGTTCCTTAACTGTTTTGACCACCAACTCGGGAGGGCTGAATCAAAGCATTTTTTGCTGTAATTCCTGTGCTCTCTGCGATAGGGTCACCAGGGGTCAACGTAAGGGAGCATCCTTCTTGCCTATGGAGGGCTATAGTGGAGCTGCAGCCCAGGAGATAATCGAGGCCCGTTTGTCTCTTCACCTCTGCCCCCCAACCCTACAATTCTTTGTTCACACTAGCTTCAAATGGTGCTGATTCTTTGCTCATCAACAGCAAGTAAGCAGCTCATGACCCCAGCAGATGTTTCTGCATTTTAGACTAATGAGAACTTACTGGATTACTGCAGTCTTCCCTGCCTCGGAGTAAATACCACTTTGTTGGAGATCCGGAAACTCATACTGAATATGATAAACAAACTGCTGGCTGGACTGTGATTGCCAGGACATGAAAAGAGTTCCACAGCGGCAGAGGATCTAACAGCTCTGAAATGCACCACTGAGCCACACCAATTAAGAGCATTTCCAGTGATTATGTGAGCATTCTTGTTCAACTCACAGAAATGATTTTTAGGTTGTTTCTTCTGCTGCATTTGTGTGGCCTGTAAAGCGAGCACAAGGATGGAGGACTAGGTTTGCAGAGTGGTCTCAAATGGCTCTGATCGGTTTCTTTTAAAGTATTTCTGTGATAACTCAATAGATCTTGCATATATATTTCCTGCTGTTTTAAGTTCTTAGATTTCATATGTGAGGGAAGCAAACACAATTTGCCTTTTAAGACACAAATAATTTTTTGTTTATATTGATAATGTATTTGGAGATGGCCTGTAGGATATCAAAACTTAATTCCTTCTTTTAATATCTACTGCATGTGGGGGTGGGAAGTTAAACAGCTGATGGAACAGTAGAGTTTTCAGGACTACCACCCAAAAAGAGATTCTGTCTGTGGTACTTAATCCTGTCAGCAGTCACGCTTTGTTGTGTATTTCTTCAGAACTTTTTAGACAGTATTTTGGTAAGTGAAATGGTCAAGAAGTAACTATAGGAGTGCAGCACTGATCCCCAGCTACACCAGGATGTAGCTTATTAGCTTGACTCTAGGGCAATGTTAATATACTTGTACAACTTCAGCGTATTGTGGACAGGGTAAGTATAGTATCTGTACAGGCAGTACCCAAAGATGTTGAGAGCCCTTAACCTTTTATTAGGACTTTTTTTGTCTTGAGAAATTTGTCTTCACCTAACTGGACAAAATCAAATTTCTTAATTTAGTATGGTTTGTATGATAAAAGGACACCTCTACCCATTGCTACTTATAAAGTTGTCCAGCTGAATTTTGAATAACTTAACAGGTGTGGAGTCTTCACAACCTCTCCAGATCCCTTATTTACATATAAAACTTCCACCAAACACTAGACTGTGCGCAAACTTCTCTTACATCACTCATATGTAGAGGCTGAGAAGAAAACTGGGAGGTAAGTTCTTACTAGATCTCTTAATGACAGCCACTTCTGATTAAGCACGGTGATCTATTCCTGTTTTAAATCAGCATCTGTCCATATTAGTGATTTCTTAGTACTATTTCAGTCATTTTGTCAGGAATTAAAATGTTATACTGCTGTGAAAGATCAGCCTCTCCTGTTCTGGAGATGATTAATAAGCATTTTTGACAGAACTATTTAATAATTATGTTCTCAGTATCATTATTCTGTTGTTATATGCTACTCAAATTACATTCTTATTTTGAACGTGCTCTTTAATTATCCT